TAAGGCGACGATCATCCAGCATCAACTTTGTTGGACTGGCCATGTCATCTGGATGTTTGACTCCAGACTCCCAAATCAACTTTTATTCTTCCAGTTCAGCCAAGGCGTATGCTCAAGAAGAGGGCAGAGAAAGTGCTTCAGGGACATCCTCAAGACCAACTTTAAAAAATGCAACAAAAGTACCTCTTCCTGTTTTCCCACCATGCCACTCCTGGTGGGCCATCCTGCTGTCATGCTCCCATCCTCTGCTTCTCTCCAAACTTTGCTTTCTGCTGCTGTCTCCCACTTTCCTCTGCTCCTATCTGCTTTCTGGCAACATCACTCTCATCATTGTTGCCTCCACCTTTGCTTCTGCTGTTAGTTTCTTTCTTCCTCCCTCTGCTGTTGCTCCCATTGTCACCTTCTTTCTTTCTTCCCCACCTTCATCCACTCTCCATCTGTCTCCAGATCTTCATTTCTGCTCTTCAACTCTTTTATTGTTTTGAGCTTTGGATCTCCCTTCTCCACTTCTTACACCCAGTGCTCTGTTAATCCTTTTCTCTATTTTTTAAGACATAGATCAGGCTTTCAATACTGATGAGAACTTACCTTTTCTTTTCTTTTCTTTTTTTTTGGAAAAAATATATTTCTCTCTCTCTCTCTCTATATATATATATAGATAGATAGATAGATGTATATATGTAACTATATCTATCTATATCTATATGTATATCACCTAGCAAAAACTGTTCTTCATACACCTTAAACCACATTTAAAGCCCAGACACCCATTACAATAAACGCACCTGTGGATCCATGCTCCTGCATACCCATACACACTGCTTTCCCTAACCCAAATTGCACTGTCTCTTAGCGTTAGCCCTGATTTTGTGGGTTAAATTCTCAGTTCATTCACTGTCATTGTCACTGTTGCTTCTGCTGCCACCATCATCGCTGTCTCCAGGTCCAGTTGTCTTGTCCTTTTCACTATCCCTGTCCACTCCCCCGCTAGGTGGGGACTTTGAAGAGCCTGTGACAAGTGTCCCTTTGCCAGGTAGAGTTGGCTGCATCTTATTTATCCTCTCCCACTGATTTCCAGTAGTAGGACTGGAGTTCACTCAGAAACATTTTAACACAATGTGTTTCCTCAAGGTTCATGTGTCTGTTCATCAGAAAGTTCCTAATGGGAACCTATCACAAGGATAGGTCAGGACAGCCCAGCTGAATAAGATACATGGTGGTGCCATTTGCACTCAGTCCCCCTCAGCACCTAGTCTTTTTAATGGCATGGTGAGCCACAACACTGAATACATTTCGACTTCCTCTTCAGTCCCACTACTAAACTCTGCTCATTTGAAATTTGGAACTTGGCTATTGGGTTTTGCCCAGTAGTATTCGGAACTTTTTTTTTAAGTTTGTACTATATAGATACAGAAGTGCTCCTTAAAAGTGTGTCTATGGAGTGCCTGTGCTAAAACTTGCAGCAGTTTCAAAGCAAGGTAAAATGCATCAGTTCTAGATGAGTTAAGTCTATGGATGCCCAAACAATTTTGCCTGTATACAAATTACTACAGGTATCTTTCTTTCTAGGTCACTGTTTTCAAATTTGCCTCTCACTTCCATGTGCTCGGGGAGAACAGGGTCTGACAGTAAGGAAGGGTATAAGGGGCCTCAGGGGGAAGGAGTTGTGGGGGCAGAGGGCAAGGGAGCCACCTGACCCTTCAGCTTTATTTTCCGTGCTGTAGCTGTGGGAAGGGGACAAATCAAGGGAAAACCTCCAATAATTATATTATATACTTGGAAAATTATAACAAATTTATACATTTTCCATATATAGAATCTAATTATTGAGGGGGTCATTTTATATTCAGCTTCATCTTATAAATATGGTACCTTGAGCTAATACTGCAGTGAAGAGAAACTCCCAGATGCTAGTATGCTTACCAAAATACAGAGGGAAAAGGGGAAACAAAATAGCAGGAGAAATCCAAAACATAGATCAAGGCTAAGTTCTTCAGGTCCTTAAAAGATGAAAAAGGAGATTAAACTCCGTAGTAAATGGCAAGAGGAAGTGAGCAGAATACCTGAAAGAAGGGAGCAAGCAGTGTGGGCTGACCAGAAATCAATGGATTTTATTTCTTTAAATGATTTTATCCAAAGGATGAATGTATTTGTCCTTACAGGTCTGACCTGTGGAAGGGACAGGACCTAGAACAGGGGTGGACAATATATGGCCCATGGGCTGCATCCAGCCCACCAGGCCATTCTAGCTGGCCCGCAGAACCCCTAAAAAATTTAGAAAATATTTATCTGCTCCTGGCTGCCTGTCAAA